GTGCGAGACTAGAGTTGCTCAACTTGGCGTTGCAAATCATGCAGATAGGACGCTCACTCCCATCACGTTCCGTGATACATGTAAATCCATATTGTACATATTCGTCCAACCACTTTCTTTTTTTGCCCGACATAGTTAGTATGGATTAAAATGTTAAAAAAAAAATCACGCGAAGTACTACCACGACATTCACATGTTGACTACTGCGCGCGCTACATTCCCCGCAGCCCTGATTGGCCAAGCAGTGTAGCATGATCGTCTGCAGCCAGTGATGGCCAGAAGGGGGCGTGTCATCACAAATTTACACGATAATTCGGGCGTGGCTGGACCTCTGCGACCTCCGCAGTGGAGGCTCTGCCGAACCCCTGAGACCGACTCACCGAACCCCTAGGGTTCGATCGAACCCAGGTTAAGAACCACTGCCCTAAAAAGTTGATTTTGGTCTTATTCACAGTGGGTCACAGCAGTGGGTTGTACTGCGTGTTTGATTTGGCAGATTTTTATGTATGCTGGATGCCCTTCCTCACACAACCCCAAAGGGATTTTTCTCCTCCAGAGAGCTCTCATTCTTACTTTTTAATATGCAGCAGGGCAACCTGAGTAAAACAAAGAGGTCCCTTGTTTGTTTTATATGAATACATGTTTATTCTCTGTTTGTTTGCTTATTTATGTGCTTATTTTATGTGTTTCTTTAAACAACAAAAAAAGAAAAACAGAAAAAATGCCCATCACACACAAAAAGTTGTTAATATAAAACGTGGTATAAAAATTATGTTGTCTGAAATTTGCTATAAAATGTAACATTGTCTAATGCTGACTCTAAAATTAAAAAAATGTCTATAAATATGTTATACTATAGAATAAGAACGCATTGATGAGGTAGCAGATTAACCACTACCATCGAGTTCATATTATATTATATTTAGCTTATTGTCTGTGCTTGTAAATTTCACTGAGGGAAGCTGTTTATGCTGTAGGGCTCATTCGTGAGATTCCCTAAGGAAAAAAAAATCTCATTCATATTTGCTTTTCCCTCCCTTGATGACGTCACAGCAGTGAGTGGTGGGGTCAGGGCCGAAACATTGTGGTATACTAATAAGTACAGCACACACAATACAAACTACAAAATACACAGTGAATAACACTTATTATCTCTGCATCATGGCACGTGGTCGTGGGGGGGACATATTGGGGAGCAAGTGCAAATTTAGTCCTCAAAGCAGGAAAAATGGGCATGCGTAAGAATTTGAGCGAGTTTGACAGCGACTGAATTGTGATGGCTACACAACTGTGTCCAAGCATCTCCAAACCTGCATCTTTTGTGGGGTGTTCCTGGTCAACAGTGCTCAGTAATAATAATGGATTGCATTTATTAGCACTTTTCAAGGCACCCAAAGTGCTTTACAATTCCACTATTCATTCACTCTCACATTCACACACTGGTGGAGGCAGCTACGGTTGTAGCCACAGCTGCCCTGGGGCAGACTGACAGAAGCGAGGCTGCCATAT